CCAAGTTTTGCCAATTATAAATAAAGTTGCTATAAACATCTGTGCACAGGTTTTTGTGCAAACATAAATTTTTACCTCCTTTGGCTAAATACCAAGGAGTGAAATTGCTGGATTGTATGATGAGTATGTTTAGTTTTGTAAGAAACTGCCAAACTGTCTTCCAAAGTGACCGTACCATTTTTGCGTTCACACCAGCAACGTATGAGACGTCCTGTTTTTTCACATCCTCTCCAACATTTCCTGTTGTCAGTATGATCCTCTGTTTTTTGAATCTCTTTCTTAGTTCTCTCATTTGTTTTGCTGAAGAACATCCTCAAATATGTTTTAAAGGGCATAAAAAGGTAAATTCTCTAGATCCTTTTATGACTGAAAATGTCTTCATTCTACCCTTGTGTTTAATCAATACATTGACTAAGTATAAAATTCTAAGATAAAATTAACTTTTCCTCTTGGGTTTGAAGGTGTTTCTCCATTGTCTTCTAGCACTAATGTTTTCGAGAAGCCTGATGCCATGCTGATTTTTATTTTTCTGTTAAGTGACCTGTTTTTCCTCCCAAAGGACATTTAGAATCTTCTTTTGATCTCTGTGCTTTGAAATTTCACAATAAGGTGTGATTTGAGCTTGGAAGGACAGGGATCAAAATGTGACTGGCAGAAAAGGGAGGGAAAGTTCTACAGGGCAACAACTAGAACAAAAGTGCAGAGGTGGGCATTAACAAGGAGTGCTTGGGAAATTGGAGAGTCAGCTCTCAAACCTAGCTCTTGCACTTACCGACTTGAGTGGTGTAATGCAGGTTACAGAACCTGTCTAAGTTTCTGCCTTATATTATAAAATAAGGATGTTGAAACCTACCTCCCAGGGTTGTTGGGAGGATAAAATTAGATAATATAAAAATAAAATGATGAAAAAAATGATTCTTTTGGTAGCAGGTATGAGAATTCCTTGAAGGGAGAATAGATCCGTCTCTGTTTTAATCTCACCAGAATACTTTGATAAGTCCTTAGATGGGCAATGTGGCCTCCAGGGACTGTATGTTGAGCAGGGTGTTCAGATTATATAAGGAAGAGAAACGCTACTCTTTATAATAAAGGGTGGTAGGAATATTCGATACCGGGGAACAGCAAACTACGAAAGAAAGTACCAATGAGTTGGGCCAAACTTGCCTAAACAATGAGTCAAGGAAGACCCTCCTCTCTTCCCTTGATCTTAGTTGGGCTAAAGAAAGACTTGGGAGGGAAGACAAATGTCTAACAGCAATAGACACTGTTCACTGCCTGTTGTAAGACATAAATCCCCTCTCTATTCCTTTTATGAAATCCTGCTTCAATTCTACACTTTTTAATCAGAATACTTTTATGGGAGTAGACTTGTTGAAGGCAACTCAAAGAGATAGATGAAACAGGGTAGCATCTGAATAATGTGTGTCCAGCGTTTAGCATAATGCTCTGCACACAGTAAGAGCCAAGTCTTGCTATTTTTAATTCTTGTTATTCTTAATGTTACAATTATGAGGTGGAGCTATCATATTATGCAACCCTGACAATGTGATAGAAACAAGAAAACTGTGCCTTGTAATTCTTGATCTGATTTCTGTGTGTGCATCTTTATTTCATATTGAACAATTATAAAATTGAAACTGAAGTCAAGTTTTTCCATGTTTATATTTTTAGATGTGCCCAATCTTAATTTGAAATAGGAAGATAGAAGTAGAAAGAGTCATGGGACAGTAGAAGTGCCTCTCTTCTGCCGCTATTGCTTTCCAAAAGAATAGGGGATACCTGGAAATGAAGAGTTTTAATAGGAGGACTCCATTCTATTACTTAAAATATTTATCTTGCATTTTTTAAGCAATCCTTGTCTATGCTCATGCAGCCATTCCAGCTTCTAGGAGCCTCACCACCATTGCTTATGATTGCCCACAACTGTCTCTCAATTGTAATCTCAGATTCTCTTCCAAACTAAACAATTAAAGTCTAGATGTATTGAGGAACACCTAAGAAGTAACTTCCTGACTCTCAAAAGATGGAAGCACTCAAAGAGAGCCTAATGTTTGGTTCATATCTTCAGATTGCTGAAACTTAATACATTCTAAAGTCTTTGGGGATAAAATCTGCTCCTTTCTCATCGTTGTTTTTCTAGTTGACAGCAGATTCTCAAAAACATAAAAGTACAACAGTGTGGAATGTATACAAAACAGGCATCTGAGTCATTATTCTAGGCCTGGTGAGGTCCCCTTAACCAGGTGTCCCCCCCGCAACAGGCAATCTGATTCTGAAGTTACACTTAAGTCTCTACAGCTTTCTGAGGCCTACACCTGGACTTTCTGTGACTACAACACCAACAGTTCACCTGGACTGGAATTATTCTCATCCTTAGTGGAGTAGTTTTGGTTTATGATCAAATATACAAATTCATGTAATTATCCAATGAGATAATGTATGCAGAGATCCTGGATATGTAATAGACATTTCATGAATGCTAGTTTCCTCCAAGTTATCTCCCCTAAGAGGAAAACACAGCCAATTGTTTCCCATTTCTGTAAACAGACAAAAAAGATATAGATTTAATTTTTCACACAAATAACGTTAGATTAAAGAAAGAGATGTGTACTTTGAGCATAGGAGTGATTAAACAACCAAGAGGAGAGGTTATAGATAATTTAAAAAATAGAACTGGCCATTATCCTGCTTAGAAATTGATAACTAGAATTCCGTATTAGTCCCATTGTGTCAAGAGCACTGAATGAGATACTGTGAAATTTTTGAAGGAATAACGTGTGATTTCTTTCAAAAAAACATTGCCAACATAAAGGTAGCCATGAGCAAACAAAATTCAAATACCTAAAAAGCAGAAAGAGCAAACAAAATTTCCATACACAATAATTTGTGGTATTTTGGCTATGCTTTGTTGTAAATTGACGCCAACCTTATATAAATGACTAGAATAATATATTTCTTCCAAAGTCTTAACAACAATAATTTGGTAATAATGATCTTAGTTTCCAAAATGTCCTAATACTACTGTACCCTCTAAAGGATTTAGTCCAGTAACTGTGAATCAGAAATGTAGACTTTCTTTCTTTAGCTGCTAATGTTCTATTTGAATCTAAGGTTATCATATAAGTAATATGTGGTAACTGCTTCTGTAGGTACTCATTTAAAAATGATATTTTTGTTTAAAAAGATTCCTTTTCATTTTCAGCATTAAAAAATAGTGCCTTTCTGCTTAGCTTCCTATTTCAGTGTCTATAACACTATTGAATGTACTTGTTAAATTTCTCTTTCCTACTTAATTTCTTGGTGGCAGAGACTGACCACTGTCTATTTATTAAAAGTTCCTGGTACAGTGTCTGATGCATAGCAGGCTCAATAAATTTTGTGAAATGAATAAATGAATGAATGATGCTGCATTAGACATTGTACAAAGCTAGGATTCAGAGGAGCTTAAAAATCAATGGCATAAGGTACAGTGTAATCTAAAACTGAATTAAGAGAGAAAATCTGGTAGAGATCTTTTTCAATCTACATAGATAGGTGCAATCTGGCATCTTACCTACCTAGCTATCAATTCCCCAGTTCATAAGATAACAAAAATAAAATAAAATAAAATCATATGTCTAGAGAATTTGGGGCTGGTTTAGCCTAGTGGCCTTTTAGAGGTACAATTTATTTTTACAGTAAAGAGAACACTGAAACTTCCTAGAATAACCTGATTCCAACAGAGTTGAATAAAGTTGTTCATTTTTCCAGGTTTTTGACATACTTCTGTCTTTCTAGACTGTGAAGTAAATCTCCATTTCCCAAAAGCCCCCGTGCCAATGTTAATGATCCCGTCCACGTGACGTACATTTTTTTTTGTTTCATTGCTATTAATGAATGACAAGTGAGGGATATTCATTTTAACTTGAAAATGTCAGGTATGCACTTTAAGAGATATATTCTTGCAGCTTTTAATGAGGTGGTGTTTCTTTTTGAAAGAAATACTCATCTCTGATGCGAGTGCTGTGCAGGTGACAACTGATATTTAATAAGCGATGGTTCTTGTATTAGTCGCAGTTCTCCAAAGAAAATGTCTCAGATTGCTTTTGAAAAACTCTTAGCGTCACTAGCCCAAAGGCAAGATGTGACCTTTTTATTACATAATGAGAATCATTTATTATCTTACAATGTATCTTAAAGTCACAGACAAAATGCCACTTTGATAATTGCTTTCAATTAGCTTTGAGCATAGCACATATTCATAAAATGTCTTCTCTAATTTAGACTTGAATTAGAGAAAATTGCAGACATAATCTACTTTAAGGTTGTCTCATTTAAGGTGATTCGTAGTTTTATATCAAAGAAATCAAAACGAGTAGCTTTAGAACAGTCTCTCAAAGTGTTTTAAGCAGGCTTTTCAATATTTGATTCTATTCTATTACCAATTAATTAACAAATTAGAAAGCTAGTTCATCATTGCTGACCTTTTATGCACGTTAACTTTTGCCTTTCCTTCCTAATGATTGTTTTGAAATTAAACTTTGCAGATCGTGTTGAAAGAGAGAAACAATCTGATTAGCAACATAGATAAGGCTTGCCTTGATACCAAGTACATCTTCATGTTGAGCTATAACTGGGATTCTGAATCCTATAATGGTGCATCCTTTCCTGCCTTAAATAAATAATACATAACTAATGGTCAATAAATTGTACTAGACAATCGTGTAGCCTAAACCAGGAGTTTTGGGGTGTTACCACAAATGAAGTTAGAGGTAACATGATATTTAAAATGTGATTTCAGTTCATTTTTATTTCTTGTTAGTACCTTAAGCATTAGAATATGGTTTAAATGCAAATCTTTATCTCCTTTAAAAAATATTTTTGAAATAGTAGAAACTCTGTAACTACACTTTACACTTGTGGTGTTTTAGTAACTCATGGAATATTATTAACCTTAACAGAGATTTCAGAAATTGATATTATATCTGGAGATTACTCTCTTTCTCTTTTTTTTACCCCAGATAAAAATTACACACAAGAACCAAGCCCCAATGCTGATGGGCCCTCCTCCAAAAACCGGGTTGTTCTGCTCCCTCGTCAAAAGAACAAGAAACCGAAGCAAGGAATAACCCTGTATCGTTTCCTTCTTAGAGATCTAATTAGCATAATTGGGCCGTGGAACACTTATGCTGGAAATCTTTGAACCATTTCAAGTCTCCTGCTCATGCAAAATCATGGAATTGGTTTAACAGTTTTTGTTACTGAGCTAATGTAAAATTCAGCTATTAGAAAATTTATTGTCTCAGTTTTTATAGGCATCTTTGCATGAAGAAAGCAGAAGTTTACATAAAGTGGTACTGCATATTTTTGTTGCATGCATTCCCATAGGTTTTTATGTCTACCACCCATTCCTCTCCCAATATCCATTTACTAACCTCTATGAAAAACCTGTGAAACATAAAAAGGAAGTACCATGGGAAATATGATTCTCAGTGTGGTTCCAATTATTAATAAGCAGTAATCAGTAATGCTACAGTGATCATAATCGCAGATTGCTATACTTTTCCCTTTTAGAATTAAACGGTGTACTGATGATCTTTGACCTACGACTTGATAAGAAACTTTTAATTGAAAGATTTTATTAAATAGTTGTGTATGATACCTTGCTGTATCTAAATAGGTTTTCTTCAACATCTTAATGCTTCTGAGTGGAATTTAAAATATCAGGTATAAAGTTTTCTTGTGCTGAAAAATAGAAAGTGGTTTTGATTTTGTTTACTTTGTTTTTAATTCCAGAAATAAGTGACAACATGTTACTTGGCAGTAAACTGTGGTAATACTACAAGCCTTATGCCTTTCTGCATGTGAACCTACAAAAAAATTCATAACCACACCAGTAACCAAATATGGATGTTTTAAACTATGTGCCTAATAAACTGTGTTTCCCACCAAAGATTCAGAAAAAGATGCTTGAGAGAAATGGGTTAATGCATAATTAATTAAGCATTGTGGAGAAAATTTATGATTCTTATGATTAATTTTGTGATGACTAAAACTCTGGAAAAGAGTGAATTACCCATTAATTATAATTAAAATTCTCACCTTTCACAGACAATAGGCCATACAACACAGTCAAAGCTCAATAGCTGATTTCTTGCTTTTTTTTGTCATTTATAAATATAGGTGTCCGTAATTTTTAATGGATCAGTTAAGTACACTTGAGAAAGTAAATGATTGAATCAGTTCCTTTCTAGTATAAATTGATACCTGTAATAATATTGAGCTCATTGAAGCAAATCATGCATGCAATTAGCCCCTTCCCCCTCCCCTACTCCACTCCCATCTCTGTGACATTTCAAATGTTTATTTGGAAATAATGGCCTACATTGTTTAAGGTGTTCATGGCATGGTTGGATTCTCTGATTGTTTAAAGAAATTATGGAATAGTACTTTTCTTAGTGTTTCATTAAGCCTATGATATAAAATGAAATGCTACTCTGAGCAGTTTTGGTATTGTTCATTCATATTGACCTGCATCTCATCATTGCATGTTTTCTGTTTTCAAACATGCCGTAAGGAAAACAAGTGCTTGAAATGCATGATTTATTAGTTTCCCTCTCCACTCTGCATTCAAGTACTAATGATTTATCAGTTCTATTTTTCTATTGATTCATTCATCTTTGAATAACAAATAGCATTTAGGGATTCTGTTGTACACAACTCTGTGCATGAATTTATGGATTTCAAGTGAAATTGCTATAATTTTTGTTCTTTGATTTGAAAACTCAACTGAATGCTGTTATATCAAATAGCTGCTCTCAGGCAATGTGCTATAATGGAAGATTATGTATAAAGCATATTCTTTTAGTGTTCCAGGAATGTTGGATGGTAAATATCAATCAACAATAAGTTTAATTGCTTTGAAAATAAAAGCTTTTGAATAAAATTAAGACATAATTTAGCATTCCCAGGAAAATTATCATTACAATTGCAAATGTAGCACAGCAATCACTTGCCCTGGTATAATAAAAAAAAAAGTTATTTGGCAGAGAAGTAATCTAGACCAAAAGAAAGCTCAAAACACTAACAAATGCATTGCTGACATAATGTTACATAACACACACATTGATTTTGTGTATCTATGGTTACAGGTAATAAATATTTTCACATAAATTGACAAAATTTTCTACAATGGGCAGGCAGGCTTTGTGTCAAAAACATATGCTGAAACCACAAATTATTTTATGTTCGGTGCAACATACAATTATTTCTTGGCTACCTTTTATAGAATATAGTGTGAAAGAAGGAACAGTTTGTGAATCATTCTTAACAATCTGTGCACTGGAAAGCTGTTGAATAGACAGTGGGATGAGACAAATCAAACAACCTGCCTATAAGGCTTCATTAATTGATATAATGGGATGTAGCTTTACTTCAATGTAGCTATGTCACTATAATTAGTGATAATCGTAGTTACATTTTCAGTCAGTAGGATTCATTGGTACCAATAATAAATGTTCAAATAAAAATCAAATTTTACTTTCCCCAACTCATTTTCTAAAGATGCTGACATGCTTGCCCTTCAAGTACATGACTCCTGGGGTTTGGAAAGTAGTTTTTAAAAACTTACTTTGATGGTTTTGAAATCAGAGAAGATATTCTGCTCATTTTTATGACAGCTTCAAGTGAAGAATATATATTTTAAGGAAAATTCTAAACTGAAAGTTCTGTGGTATATTAAAATATTGAATAATGAACGTTAGCTTTACAAGATGGAAATTTTTCTTATACGTGTGTGGGTGAGTGTTTGAGTTGTCGGATCAACCTCTTTTAAATATAGTAGACATAGTAGTATAAAGTTTTAAGTGGATGAAGCTATTAAGTAAAAATTAACACTGGGCTTGCAGGGTTCAGAGGAAAAGTGGAAAAGAGAAATGCACTTTGCTAAACATCGCCATACATTGAGTTGATAAACAGAGAGAGATTCCAGAAGAAACCTAGATAGCCGTGCTTCTAATAGGACTGGAGGTATCTATGCAGAACCAGAAATTTTAAAGGACATAAATGTATTTTTCCACTTACATATGTATACCATGTGTATTTGATGAAAAAAATGCTGGTCAATTTATTGTGCAAGAAGGAGATGTCTTGTAGAAAGTGAAGAAAGTAAAACAGTTTTCACTTTACACCGGTTATGTGATTACAGCCAGCATAAAGCAAAAGGCTCAGATGTTTCGGGTAGTTGACCGCAGGCAGAAATTTAAATCCAATGAGAATCAACGAATCACATATATTTCGACAGTTTCCTCTTTTTCCTTTTTTAGAGGGATGGGGAGCAATTGCAATTTTCAAGGAAAATTCTGTTTGGAATCTCAGACTGTATTCTACTTGAATGAGACAAAACTCTTAAATGGCTCCATTCTCTTTTGTGTCAAAGTTAGTTTGTTGTTTATTGGTTATAAAAAAGAAAATGTACTTTTCATGGTGCATACAACCCTCAAAGAATTATTCAAATATAACACATATATTCCAAGTTAAAAGATTAAGCCCTTGTAATATATGTTGAGGTTGTAAAATTTAATTAAATAAACAAAAACCTGCAAAAGAGCTTTTATTTTGTGAAAGGCAGAAATAATCCCTTAAATCTCTTACTTAAATTGCATTCTATTTAAATAAAGTTTGAATAAACTCACATTTGAAGGATTCTATACATCTTTATTGTGTTTAAAAACATGAAATTCATTTAATTACAGTATCTTAATTGTTTTCTCAGAAAGTGTTATATACAGTATCTTGCTTTTTGAAATAAAAATGTTAACCACTCAGTTGTGTCATTTCTTACTGCCACTTTGGCCAGACTTTGTCAGTGTGTCAACTCTTCAAGCAGGTGACAGTCCACTGTGGATGTTGAGAGGTGTAAGTGTGAGGGCTCTGGGGCCAGACCTGAGTACAACTTTTGGATCTGCCGCCTACTTGCTATGTGATCTCATGCAAGTTATTCAAGATCTCTGTGCCTCAATTTTCTCAAATGTAAAATCAGAATATGTATTAAAAATTAGATAAATTAATATATTAAAGAATTCAGCAATGCCTGGCACATACATATTAATAAAGGACAAGAAAATACATAGTACAGAAGACCTTATTCTATTCTGCAAAAATGGCTGACAAATCTATTAGAAAAATAGTTGTCAACTTCAGGTTCAAAATAACTTGTCAGTGAATGTCCAGGTTATTTATATAGAGTTACACTTCTCCCAACCTAGGACATTTGAAGATGTGTCAGATGGCCTCCTACAAACTGTAAATCCAATCAAACATCATTAGATCACCAAGAAAAACCTACAGCAGGACAACTCCATAGCAATTTGAGGACCAAAGTAGTATAATGTCATTATGACACACATCACTTTGGCCAACGTCCAAAGGGATTCCTCTCATAGACTCTCCATTAACTTCTTCTTAATTATATTCTTCTCTGTGATTCTCCCTCCACCCCACCCACCACACCTCAAACTCAAATCGATGGTACCCGGATTTCACTGTCAACACTCAAACTCTGCACTGAATACACATCTTTCCTCTTGCATTCACTCTGACTCATCTCTCTTTGGAGAATCTCAGGACCTATAATGGTTGATTGGTGCTCATGCCTGTCAGATCCTAAAAGGCTCATGTAATAAGCACTGCTTTTGACAGCCCTCCCCCTCCTCCAGCCACCCAGCCACAGGGGCTCCAGAGACTCCTCTTGTTCCTACTGTCCCACTCACCCAGGCCTGGCGGGCCCTAAAGGAGAACCACTGGGAGTGGAGCTAACATCTACCAGCCCATTACACCTCCACGGCTCGCACACACTGGTACCTACCCTCCTAGCCTCTGGCCAGACACCAGCAGAGGAGTCAGTAGACCTCACTCACCCTGCCAGGCAGCACTCCAGAGTCACCCTCTCCAGGACTATGGTGGAAACTGCAGAATCCATGGACTTCATGGATCTTTGGCTATGAGAAAGAAGGGGAGAGTCTAGAAAAGTAGGTGTGTGGGCAATAACGGGAGGCATTCCATAGCTTGTTGTCTGTGGTGTATGGAATTGGGGGTATCCTGTATATCCTACTTTTTACTCTCCCTGTGAATTACCACTGCCTATTCCCATCTACTTTACTTTGCTTGAATGCCCCACAGACACATTAAAATAAAAATCTCCAAAATAAAACTCACCTTGCCTCTCAGTATCAACCTGTTCCACCTCCTGTACAACTTGTTCAGCGAATTACACCAGTACCCATTTGCTCTCTCAAGTCAGAATCCTAGGAAAAGGCTCAACCATTCCTTCTTCTAAATTTCCACTCCTATCAGTCCCATCTACTCTACCACTTCAATATTTATCAAGTCCATTCTTTACTCATCATCTCTATTGTCTTTGTTCAGATCCTCATCATTTCCTACCTACATTACAGTT